GCTCCAATGTCACTGTCAAGTGATTTCAGTGATTTTCACCTACTTTTAATGTACTGGGTTATTTTACATCAAATTTCTGATGCCATTTTACCCTTAAATAGGATACTGTGTATCAATAAGGGAGGCGGGCCTTCACTGAGCAGAGCAATACTGATTTCTTATACACCATGTTAAATACTCTGTAATGCCATCAAGTATTAATTAGTATTGAGATCTCATTGTCTCACCCACCTCAACTTGTTTACTTTAATCACAGTCAAGATCTAACATTAATGTATTGGTTATATACTTTTAAGGAATTTGTGTGTGTGTGTGTGTGTGTGTGTGTGTGTGTGTGTGTGTTTTGCTCCTTGAATGCCTTCAGGGCACTTTTGCATGGCTGGAGTGTTGTGGGGATCGAACTACAGCAAACTGAGGCTGCCAGCATTGTGGAAGCAGCCACTTAAAGAACTGAGCTAGGGCTGGGCCCCCCGGTTATATACTTTTAAGGTGGAATTATGTCATGTTAATGTGTGGCAAATGGACCTTCACATATTTGTGCAATTTTAAATGAGTATAACTTATGTAGGATTTAAATTTTCTAGCAATAAAAAAGAAAGAACCTAAAAAAATTAATAGTCTTTAACTCAATGATTGTTTTCTTAGGAATTTGTCTTAAGAATATAAGGAAATATGGCAGGAAGATTCACAAAAATTTTCATTAAGGTTATTTATAAAAAGTGAGATATCCTGAAAACTACACTGGGAGAGTATGGAATAAATGAAAGTGAATTGTTGCACAGCTAGTAAAAGTCATGTCTCTCTGGAAGATTTTTATGACAAGAAGAAATGCTTGTCATGTGATAATTTAAAAAAGTGGACTCAATATTTTATATGTAATGTCATCTCAAATTTGAATATATTACTTACTCATAAAAATTGGAAGGTAAAATAATCAATGTGGTAATTATATCTTTAAATTATGACATTTTATTTACAATATGAATTTTATAATTATAAGCACAATACGTATAAAGTGACAAGCATGAATTATAATTAATTCAAAACTAGAAAACATATATAAAGTGTTAGCTATTTTCAGATTCAGAATGACATAAAGCTTATTCGGCTATGTAAAATGAAACACATTATTAGGTAATATAATCATCAGTAAAATTAAAAGACACAAATCAAACTAATTTTTAAATTACTATACACATTTTTCTTTCTTTCTTTCTTTTTTTTGGCAGAACTGGGGATTGAACTCAGGCTCTTGCGCTTGCCAGGCAAGTGCTTATTCTACTGAGCTATCTTCCCTGGCCTACATTTTTCATAAAGACATGATTTTTTTTTCCATATAGATCAAACTTAGGACCTTGCACTTGCCAGGCAGGAGCTCAAGCCACTGAGCTATCTGCCTGACCCCTAAGGCAGGATATTAACTATTCATCAGGAGAAAAAAAAAAAAATCTCCCAGTGGAACAAAATGACTAAATAAGTAAATAAAATATATTAAATAGGATTAATTTTATTTCCATTTATTTATTTATTTTTTGTCTTTTGAGACAAGGTTTAGCTATGCAGTTCAGGCTGGACTGAACTCACTTTGTAGCCCAGGCTGGCCTCCAACTCACAATAATCTTGCCTCAGTCTCCTGAATGTTGGGATTACAAACATAAGCCACCATGCCCAGTTTACATTGACTTAATTTTAATGAAAAAACTCTTACAGAAACCTACTGTTAAAAAGTTTATTCATTTTATACATGAGGATCAGAAAAACTAAACCAGGCATGGTGGTACATACCTATAATTCTATAATTCAGGGAAGCTGAGGCAAGAGGAATACAAATTTCAGTTCAGACTGGACAACTTAGTGAGACTGTATTTCAAAATTAAAGTAAAAAAGGGCTGAGGATCTAACTCAGTGTGAAGGTCCAGGGCATAAACCTCAGTACTGGAAAAATAATAAATCATTCATAAAACATACAAATATAAGTCATTTATAAATTTATATCATAATAATGACATAATTGACATTTGCCCTTGTAACTTTAGCCTTAGAACCCATGCCTGTCAACTGGGAACTGAGAAGCCTTCTTTTGGGAAACTTTTAATTCCATAACATAGTAGCATTACCTATAATCACCATGGCATTTGAAATTGCCAGGACTTTTCATCCCGCAGAACTGAAAATATACCATTTGACTCCCGTCTCCCCACTGTCCCCGACTGCCCCTTGAGCACTCGGTAGCCATCATTTTATTTTATTTTTTTCCGTATTTAGGGCAGCATCTACAGGGTCTACAGGGTCTCACTACATAGATCAGACTCATAGTGATTCTCCTCCCAAATGCTGGGATCACAGGCGTGCGCCACCATGCCCAGTCTCAGTAGCCATCTCAGGGCGCCCCGTGTGGGGGGCCAGCATGAGCACACAGAGCACACTGGGGATCGAACCCCTGCCACTGCGCTCTGCTTGAGCAGGCGCTTTGGTCCACCGAGCTATCAGGTCGGCCCTGATAGCCATCATTTTACTCTCAGCTGTTCTGAGTGCTGAGAATGCAGATGGGATTAAGGTCATCCAGCTTGCTTTCTTCCTCCTCTTCTTCCTCTCCTCTTCCTCTTGTTCTTCCTCCTCATCTTTTGCCTTCTTCTCATCCTCCTATTTATTTATTTATTTATTTATTTATTTATTTGATACAGGGTTTCACTATACAGTTCAAGTTGACCTTGAACTCACTATGTAGCCCAGACTAACTTCGAACTCTCAGCGATCCTTTTGCCTCAGCCTACCGATTGCTGGGGTGATAGGCATGCACCACCAGGCCCAGCTTCCTCTCTTTTTACCATCTGTTTCATTCTTTACTCTTATAGTTTAGATCTTAGGGTTAGAGCAACAGTTACTCTCTGTTCTCTGATTCGACAATCACTAAATTTAAATTAGTTTGTATGACTCAGTGATTGCTTGGTTCTAAGTGGAGTTCTTAATGTTAGCAAGACACATGTCAATTATTTGTAAAATTAAGTTATTTTAAATTGTGCTTTGGTGTAATTAGGCAGAATTTCTCATGACACTGAATATTTTATATTTAACCCACTATATAATCTAGAAACATCTTAAAAAATGTTTCTGACATTCAGACATTTACTATTTCTTTATTCTAACATAAATAGTATGTTAAGGCTTTAAATATTATTGCAGTGAGAGTCCCCTCCACAACCATCTCCCTGTTTATTTAATGACAGATACGACCACAAATTCAGAGCATGTTCTCCTGTTAAAAGCCCTTTCTATTGGACTTATTGATTAGTGTTTTTAAAAAATGCAAACCATACACCAACAGAGTATAATTTAAAAGTTTTCTGCATTTGTAGCATTGCTTTCATTATAGTTAAACAGAAAATGCTAGTGTGAGTTAAGGCAAAGGTGTGGTTTGTGCTTCAGTTTTTCAGACAAGGACGGAAAAAGATTGCTTTTGCCCATGTGAACTGAGGCAGAACAGACAGAAATAGGGGCTGGGGAGATGGCTCAGTAGAAGAAGCGCTTCCCTGGGAAGTGCAAGGGCCTGAGTTCAATCCCTGGTTCCAGAAAAAAAAAAAAAAAGAAGAAGAAAGAAAAAAAGAACAAACAGAAACGGGCTTCAGCTAATGGCTAGGAATCGACTATTATTATGCTTTCTCAGAAGAGCCTTTCTGGGAGTGATTCATGTTCAATGAAGTTTCCTAACTGATTGTGCTAGGCCCCTTCTGAACAACAGGACCCTTTCCACTGATGCTTTTCAAATTTAAATGAGCACATGTGTGGCCCGTGGCTTCTGTTAAGAGGCAGGTTCTGGTGTGGGAGGTTGGGGTGAGGGCCTGAGGTTCTGCACTTCTCAGGAGCAGACCGAGTGATGCCTAAGTCGCTGGGCCACAGGCCACACTCCCTGGGGTACAGGAGCAATGCAGGCAGCTTCCGGCTCTCTTCCACCAAATAGTGCCACACATCTGAGAACCCAGAGGCAGGGTTGGAGCATTTGTCTGTGGTTAGGTTGGGTTCTGTTTTAAAGGATTTTTTTTTCTATCAGAGGAAGGCGATCGTAGAGTTAATGAATCTACTTGCTGCAATCCATTCAGTGTCTTCCTAGTGTTTCTTGCCTTTACCCCTAAGAAGAGAAACAGGAATAATGACAAGGAAGAGACAGAGAGGGTATCCTGTAGGCTGGTTGACAGTGGCCCCAATCGTTCCATGGATGGGCCTGGTGCTGGAACTCACGAAGTTCTTGAAGAGCTGCCTGTAAACGTCTGTTCTTCTTCTAGACCTCAGCCCTGGGAACCCCAAGGTGTGTGGTTCTGCTCAAGTCTGCCTTGCAGACTCTAGGTCGTTGCCCCTCCTTTTCCTAACTCTCTAAAGGCATCCATCATGGTTCGTTACATAAAATTTTGACCAATTATTTTATACAAGGTGGTCTGCAGTCTAAAAAGGAATGAATGCCCACTGCTCTTTTTTTTTTTTGGCGGAACTGTGGATTGAATGCAGGCCCTTGTGCTTGCCAGGCAAGCACTTATTCTATTGAGCTATCTCTCCAGCCCTGTCCACTGCTCTTATTCTAGTTAATATTTACAGTTTTGAAAAAGACATGCTCCAATAAATAACAAAGGAGAGCCACTGCAGCTGTGTTTTATCTCAACAGAAGACACAAAGTAAAGTCTGGAATCCCAGCACCTGGGGAGACCTTAGCAATCATCTTACATGAAGCTCTTATATGAAGTGTGATCACAACTTACAGTGGGTGTTTAAATTTTAAATATGTGACAGATTGTCATTAACCCCCTTCAAAACCTCTTCCTTGCCATATATATATATATATATATATATATATATATATATATATATTCTATCAGAGAGCAGCAGGCTTTGGGCAATTTCTGACTTATATCCCATTGTTCTGCCGAATTTCTGGAAGTCCTGTTTCATGAGTGTCTTTAGTTACGCTGTTGTGGCTGCCTTGATGTCCTGAGTCAGTTCAATACTTTTACCTTTCACAGTCGTTCTGACTTTGAGAAAGAGCTACAATTTTCATGGTGCCAGACATGGTGAGTAAGGAGGATTAGGACATATTGTGATGCTTTTATCAGCTCACCTTTCCACTGGATGGCATGAGGCCGCAACTTTCACTGTGTTTTATTATTTTTTTTTAATTTTAATTTTAATTTTTTTTGGCGGAACCGGGGATTGAACTCAGACCCTTGCGCTTGCCAGAGAAGCGCTTATTCTACTGAGCCATTTCCCTAGCCCTGTGTTTTATTTTAATCACATTTCATAAAGTCAGTCATGAAAGAAGACTTTCAGAATCGCTTCAGAAAATGGCTAGAATGGTGGGTTAAGTGTATTTGAAGTGACGGGGCTTATTTTGAGAGGAGTTATTGGCGATATATCTTTCACTGTCACTTTAAAACAATTATTTATTTATTTTATTGATAAAAAAATTGCAATGAGACAGTTTCAAAACAGGTTGATAGGAGAGTTACAACAATTACTATATTGTATATTGTTGTCTTTGTAGTAGTCATTCATAGCTCAAGATGCTGACATGGTAGCCTGTCCATAAAACATTTAAACACACAACAATTTTTTTCTGATCAGCTCTTGTACAACAGATGAATGGGCTCTATTGCATTTCAGGACACTTTCAAACCTCTATTTAAGTTTTTTCAGGCACAGAGAGTTCTCTAAATTCCAGAGTGTGCTGCTCTAACCTCTAATGGCTACAGAGTTTGTATTCACGCTGGACGGGTCCTTCTGCTGCCACGTCTATGTAAGGCCCATGGGTTGTACAGGATGAAAAGTCACCATCTTCTGGAAAAGACTGCAGACACCTCTTGGAAGAGGAGGTATTGGAACATAACCTTACATTTTTCTGGAATGGATGGGGGTAAAGAGGTGGGGAGCTTTCTTAAGTCTTCAAATCACACTTCCTAACAAATTAACCTGTATCTTCTAACCTGTGCACCAGCGTTAGTGGGGATCTCTTTCAAACAAGGAAGAGAAGCCAACACTATGTCAGATACTGTAATGTTGTTCCATGTACATCTGAGAAAACTAATAGAGTCTTTCATTGGTAAAACAGATGGTTACCAACCTGCTATATCTGGGCCTGTCCTAATCTAATTCCAAAAGGCTAGATTTATCAAGAGCTCAAACAAAGCTTGCAGAGGCACAGCTGTTGTTTGGGGGAACAATACAGTGTTGGGGTGAAAAATTACTTGGAAGATCCTGTAGTGAAGCCCACAGGTGCATAGCTTAAGCTGAGTAGCCTCGCTGTGTCAGGAGCCCACCGTGGGTTTCCCATCTGAATGAAGCAGAGCTGATTTAAAGCCACAAACCCAAGTTTTAGTTCTGTGCAAAGCAGATGTCTTCTGGGCTTTTCTTTCAGTGGAGAACACAGTCACCAGAGATGTCCCTCAGAATATAAATGGCAGAATTCATGTGTCCAGGAAAGAGACAACAGGCATTAAAACAAGTTCTATCTGAAATTTATATCGAGAGTAGCATTTGTGCTAAAATGATAGAGTACATAATGTGTGTGCTTGGGTGTGTGTGTGTGTGTGTGTGTGTGTGTGTGTGTCCCAACCCTGGAAGTATTGGGACATCCCTAAGAAAGGCAGAGGGAAGAATGTTTTTCTTAATTTCAAGAGATGGATAAAGAGAAGAATGCAGGCAGGATCAGGCTGGTGAAGCCAAAGACTGTTGGAAGGCCGCTTCAGACCACCCTTCCCTTGCCACAGCTCTGTATCTTCAGAGACAATGACAAAAACAAAGATGTTCACATGCTGCATGAAGTGAGTAGATCTTTTTAATGGAAATTGCTGAAGGGATTAGGTCTTGTATTCATAATGTGGTAGTTTTATAGATTCAGAGCAAAAGACCTATGGGCTAGGGCAGCATAGGGATGGGTGAGAAAGAAGGCCAGGAGAACTTGCAGAAATTATGGAGTAGGCTCTACCGAATTGTGGAATGGGGTAGAATAAAATTTAACCAGTTCATCTTGGGATTATAGGCTTTCAGATGACATTTAGATTACACAAATAAAATAATTTGTTCATAGGAAATTTTCTACCTGAATCGATTTTTTTTTTGTTCTCTTTTAGGACAAAATTTCAGTATGTAGCCTAGGGAAACTAAGATTTTTTAACTGCTCATTTTCTTTCTTAAAACAAATACTTTGAGCTGGTGTAGTGCCTTTGGTCCCAGCTACTTGGAAAGCTGAGGCAGGAGGGATACAACTTTGAGGTCAGTTGGACAGCATAGTGAAACTATTCCAAAAGCAAAAGAACCAGCCAAACAAACAAAAATCAAAAAAACAGGCTGCAGATGTAGTAGATAAATAGTAAAGCTTATGTCTAGCATGCATGACCCCTTGGCTTTGGTCCTCAATAATGTAAAAAGTCTTCTACACCTGTACAACTCCTTCTGCAAAGCCCTGCCAGTTTCTACATTCTATTTTTCTCAGTGTTTAAAATTGCTTTCCTCCCCTTGTCTATTTTATCTTTCTTTCTTTTTTTTCTTTTTAACTTTAAACTTTTTGAAACGTGAGATACAGCCTAAAAAACCCAAGGAACATGAACTCCCAATCTCTCTGCATCCTTCACAGAGAACAGTAATTAAAAATGTAGCTCAGATACTCTTTTTTAAAAATGAATCTTTTTTATTGTTTTTTAATATAAAACAAAAATGTATTATGTTCATAACTATTGTACAGTTAATGACATAGACAGCAGTAAAGATTGTTACGCATGTCACATATATATACATCAAAAAGTTTCACTGAATTAAAAGCTCAGATACCCTCTTGAAGGCTTTAGAAACATGTAAAAATCTTGTAAGAAAAGCCAGAAATTGCCCAAAGGCTTCTGTTCTGGAATAGCACAATTTATCTTTTTTTCTCAGAAGGTATTCACTATTTTCCCTCCCAGAACCTAACAAAGCAAAGGACAATGCATATGATGGGAGTTGACTCTAAGGAGCCTGCACTGAATTTCTTTTCCTTTTTATTTTTTATTTTTTGAAGTAGCTTTCCTATCCTCTGGCAAAACAGTATTTGAAAATGTTAAATACATAGCTATTTCCATGCCTTAGAAATAAAATCTCCAGGATTTCACATTTTGAACTGCAAACTAAGATGTTGTTTGAGGTGTTTTTCTTAAACTGTTTCCTCCTTGTTCCTTAATCTCCTCTTATGTTCAGCTTTTAACCAAATTATTGAGCTGATACATGAGCAAATATATGTATGAGTATACACTGGCAAAATAAAACTAAACCTGACATGGCCTTAGGATTTAAAGAGCTTCTGATTAAGGAAAAATACATGTAATGTTTATTTAGCCGTGAAACAAGTGAAAACGTCCTTCAGCCGTGTTAGGCCATGTCACATAATTCTTTGAAGTTTCCATGGAAAGTAAAGCAGAACAAGAGATGCAATTCATGTAAAACAGATTGTTAGGTAAGTGGCTACATAACATTAATTTGCTTCTTTACTAAGCAGCAATTATAACTGGGAAACCCAATAAAATATTTTGTGATGTCACTGAGCCAAGGTCTGTTTTGTAGCATGACTCTCATGTCAGACACATAAGCATCTACTATGCTCCGAGGCACCATGTCATGGGCCATGAAGGACAAAAAGAGGCCTTAAAGTACATTCTCTGGGGCTGGTGAGATGGCTCAGTGGTCTAAAGCACCTACTTAGAATAAGCTTAGCAAAGCGCAGGGACCACGGTTCAACCCCCAGCACTACATGCCAGCCAGCCCTGCCCCCTGGTGGGCTGAGCTGGCCACACACACACACACACACACACACACATAAATAAATAAAATTTTTTAAAAAAGTACATTCTCTGTTCTCAAGGAATTTTGAGTCTGGTCGGTCAAACACGGTTCTTTCGCTGGCAGAACCCCAAGAATTACAGAGCACCTCAGGAAGAATCCGTTCCCCATTTGCAAGGTTGTTGAGGAAAGGTGAAGACTGGAGAGAGAGTTTGTGTGGCAGCTTTGGGCATCTCACACGACAGAATGGCTACGATTTAGAGGCAAAGGTGAAAGGTGTGCAGAGCATTTTCAGTGTGAAGAAATGCTTTGGTTGTGCTTGAAAATGCAGCTTCTCTCTGCAGCCCTAGCATGGCTAATAAGCCCAGACTGGCGTGCTGAGGCTAAACTATGAAAGGTTTGCAGACAGGCAGTAGAGTTTGTACTTCATCCTGCAAGCACAAACATTTCTTGGAAAGCTTTGGAGCAAGCAAATGATGCTTCCAGAGCACTGATTTAATAAAGTTATTCTTGTGGTGACAGACAATTTGTTTTGCAGGGGAAGAACTGAAAGGCATAAAGCTCAGGCTAGAGGTGGGGCATTAGGCTGGTTGTGGGTTGGTAAGGTCAGAAGCAAACGAGACTTTGGATTCAAGAACAGACTAAACCCAGTGTTTGTCTGCTTGTTTGTTTTTAGGTTAAGGGAGCATGACACATTGCTATAAATGAGTAATGCAGTGGAAATACCAACGTTAAACATATTGGCAATCTTTATTAACGAGCAACCATGAGTGGAATAGTGAAATGTATCACACAAACAACACTTTTTATGCAAGATGTTATCAAGGACATTGTGAACATTATTTGTAATCCACTTTTACTCATGTTCTCTATGTATTATTACAAGTAAGACAGTCCTCAGAAAACTTGAGGTACTCTGAAATATATTTTTAACAAGTTTATTAACTGGCATAAAAATGTAGAATTTGATTTTTTTCCCCTGTATTTAGTGGAGGATCTCGAGGGCCTACAGGGTCTCACTATGTACATTAGACTCATAGTGATTCTCCTGTTTTCAGCCTCCCAAGTGCTGGGATTACAGGTGCGCACCACCATGCCCAGTCTCAATGCCTGTCTCAGTGTAGTCTGGGGGCAGGGCCGGCCCAGAATTTGATATGTTTTGACATGTCTTAAAGAAGTAGCTTTTCGTTGCATTGACTTACTTCTAGCTTATTTCATTGATTTATAAATTCAGATTTTTATTGACTTATTAATCTTTCTTTCAGCTTA